GGGGAGGGCAGTGAACATGAACCTGGCCATCGGTGTCAGGAACCCTTCACAGGACATGGTCCAAGAAATTCAGGGGGCTGTGGCTTCAAGTGGTGAGTGGAATTTTAATGTTACATAATTATACATCATGTATAGTACTACAGAAATATTTTACTGTGAGAAAATAGAGGCAACCTTGCAAAATTGTATTAAAAATTTACCTTTAAAGTTAGTACTTAGTCTTTGCACAGCACTTCATACATTTATAATGTTACATGATTAGGGTTAATGAAATGCCATCACGGTGATTCATGTTGTCTTAATATTTTCATTTATCCTTTAATTTCTTTTTCTTCCATCACAGATCATGAGGATGTTGTGGTGGTGGAAATTCCAACAGAAGTTGGAGCCTCAAAGCAGACTGATGAGGACTTAGCTGAAGGTTTTTATAGTTAACAATATGTTTACATGCAGATGCAGTCTGCAAACTTAGATATTTGACAGTAGCTAACTTTGTAAATGATAGAATAGTGCACTGTATGGTTCAAGGCCCATTAATCCTGTATTTTGATGAATATGATTTATTCTAATTTTAACTTTAATTTATTTTTAGAGACATTAATTTAATAAAAGTTTTTTTTATGTTGTTGTATCTGGGTCTGAAAGATGGTAGTGTACAGACAGACAGTATATTGTTAACTACATGTAAGTTACATAATTCTACCATCTTGACATGTACAAGATCAAACATGACATTGTACATCCAACAACCTGGAAAAAAGTGTATGTTGCCCAGTAAAATGCACTGCTGTACATGTATACCCCAAACTATGCATGTGCAATTATGTAAAATATTTAATGTTACCTGTCAGATAAATGTTAGTGGAGGTTACAACAGTACTGATTCAATCTGTATTTTTGTTGCACTACAGTAAAACTGAGTTCTTGCATAAGATACAGTTGTACATTGAATTGAGCCCCTTTGTGTGTTATTTTGTTTAAGCAGGTCCTAAAGATGTTCTGGAGGAAGAACTTCCAGACAACCAAGAAGTCCCTGTCAGCAAAGCTGCCTTCAAACACCTGTCAGACTCTGAGGAGGACAGCGAAGATTCAACAAGTCAGGATGGAGCAACAGCCTCAGTAGAAGGTACATTTTGTAGAATTTATAATTTTGTACACGAACGTGCATGGTGCTCATTTCTTATGTTTACCGAAGGACTCCTTCGGTGAAAACATTATTTTTGGTCTTTTTCCTCTTCTTCCGTTCCAAACACAAAAGGTCAATGACCTGAACCTGAGTCTGTCACCATGGTAACTGGTGTTAGTAGTAAATGGTTTATTGACTGATAAGCAAGCAAATAACAAATCGGCCTTGCAGCAATAGCTGAGTTGCGCCGAAGTTAACAATCATCAAGTACAGTAAAATCAATAAAAAAAGTATATAATAAATTATCATTATACATCTATATACAAAGTTCAAATGTTATCAACGTCATTAACAATACGACATATATAACGTGGTGGTTGGAGATCAGAACAATTACAAAAAAACAGCGTTATAGGAGTCCTTACAGGAAAGACTGCTCTTAAGATCAGATCATAACATTTCAATTTTATTGGGGTTGGGTTACATCATATTGCAATTTTATAGCAGGAGGGATTTAGACTCCTGTAACCATTTATGAATATACATGTATTTGAGTAAGATTTAACAAAGCAGACCATATATGATGGTAAACATAATGCATTCCCTTAAATGCAAATGTTACTTTAATCTCTAGATCTCAATTGAATTGCCTAGAGACACCACACTAATTATCTACAACATCAATGAATATTTCCTTCCTCTTGAAAGTATTTGGAAGATAAATAAAGTTTTCTGAGTCTTTGCCCTTGCAGAGGCAGCACAACTGGAAGAGGCTGCTGCGAATGTTCCCAGAGAAGAGTTTGATGACCAGTTCCTGACCTGCCAAATCTGCATGAACATCTACAACAACCCCCGAGTCCTGCCCTGTCTTCACACCTTCTGTACCAGGTGTCTAGAAAAATGGCGGAAGAGAAAGACCGAGTTCTTGTGTCCCATCTGTAGAAACCCAGTCAGGCTACAGGGAACAGATGTCACCAGTTTGCCTCCGAACTTCTTAATCAACAACCTGCTCGACTTTCGGGCTCTGCAAGGCAGTGAGCAAGCTCACACCCAGTGTCAGATGTGTGAGTCTGGGGCCAGGGTAGCTGGCTCTTGTAGGGACTGTAATTTCTTCCTCTGTAAGAACTGCATAACTGCTCATAGAAAAACTCCAGCACTAAAGGACCATCATATCACTGTACACGACACCCAGACAGAGTACTGCCCCCAACACACCGACCAACGTCTGATGTTCTACTGCCGACCCTGCACGAAGCTCGTGTGCCGAGACTGCACTGTCGATGAACATCGACCTGGGCCAAACCACGACCCAAAGGAGGTCAGTGAGGCTGCACAAGAGTTCAAGGCTGAACTGCAGACATTCATGGAGAAAGCACGACAAACAGTTGACACTTGGATAAAAACTGACAGCATACTTGCAGCAGAAGTCACCAGCATCACAACAAACTGTCAGACAGTGAGAAAGGAAACTCAGGAACATTTTGCACAGCTGAGGGCAAAAATGGACCAGGAAGAGCAAGACCTTGGAAAAAAACTAGATAAAATGGAAGCAAACATAAAAGATCCTCTGTTGGAAGAAAGGGAAATGTTGAAAGAGACCATCAAGTCATCAGAAGAAGGACTTCAGTTTTGTACTGACATTCTAACTAGAAGTAATGATGTAGAAATTCTCACACTCAGGCAGCAGCTAGGAGATTGGCTAAACATTTTGATAGCAAAAGAGATCTCACATGAAGGCCTGACAGAGCAGATAACATTTCAGCCTAACACAGAGATGTTGACATTCAGTCCAGGGTCTCTTTCAGTCCAGAACACAAGTATTCTAGTCACAACACACCCTGTAGAAAGCCTGACGACTACTGTCATCTTTAGACCAGAGAAAGGCCAAGTTCAGGGAAGTCCACAAGTCACAGTCACCTCCCCTGAGGGGCAGTGTGCCAGATTAGACACTACAGAAACTAGTGAGGGGGTGTTTGAGGCAGTCTGGAGGCCACAAACATCAGGGAAGCATCAGGTGGGGGTCACAACAGGGGG